TTTTTTTTTTTTTTTTTTTTTTCCCACTCATATTTACTTTCGTCAGTTGTTAGAATAGTGTATTAGCAGCAGCAGTAGTATTGTATCTGTTAGTTGTGTTATTATTAATTTTTTTTGTCCCTCTTGTTAATTTTTTTTTGTCCCTATCAGTAATATCACTGGTATTTAGAATTAACTCCTGTTAAAAAGGTTGTTATAAATATTGTTAGTGTTGTAAGCAATGTTGATTGGTATCGTAATTTGTAATTTGTAATTTGTAAGTAGTGATAGTGCTGTAAGTAACTTCAGTTTTTGTAAAATTGTACATAAAGTGTAGTATTGCAATTAAAAAAAAATGGTGGCGTTAGAGGAGAAATACATTGTACTTCTAATCACTTTATATGCTTCCAAAACCAGCTTAAGCTGCGGTGTTTTGGATCACTTGGCCAGACACAGATAATTTCTACCTTACCTTCATTGTCAAACCTCTCCCTTAGTAGGGTTGAAACTTTAAAAGAAAATATGATGACTTAGTTTTAATTGTGTAGTTTGTAAAACTTAAGAGATTAAGGCTGTTGTAAAGATTAAACATTTCCTGTTTCTTACTAGATACAGACAGAGAAGCAACATTGAAAGCTATGTGAGACTCAAGAGGAGTAAAAATCACATTGAAGCATTGGATTTCATATAAAGTGAGTCTCAATTTCTTTGTGTTTGGATTCGCATACTAAGCATGCGGTGCACAATGCAGGTGGAAGATTTTAAACAAATAGAAAATTCACTGTTCAGCTATTTCAAAAAACTGTTGTTTAGGTGGCCATACACCTTAGCCCTTTTGGAGTAGGATGTACAAAAATTCCTGCAATGCGTGGGGTACTGTTGTCAACAAGTATTCTTTTGTGGCAGGAAGGACACAGTAATGTCATGTTAAGTACACTGGACTGCAGATCAAGAAGCCTGGGTTTGAGCCAACGGTTAGAGTCTCTACGTTGTCTTTTTGGGCAATACACTTGACGCTATCACTACCTGTCTCCACCTGTAGTTGTACAAATGGGTACTGGGTAAATTTAATACTGGGTGCAAACCCTGTGACGGACTCGCATACGGGATAATCTGGGATAAATAAAGAATTTAACCTCCATTTGGTGTGGAAATATGCTCTGATATTTGTCGGCGGACATTATCTGTTCCGAGAAGTGAACAGTTTTTCAAGAGCGTAGCTTGAGGAAAGCTGTGAGCCTCGAGGAACAGATAATGTCCAAGGACAAATATCAGAGCATATTTTCACGCCAAATGAAGGCTATTGTGATTTATTATCCTTCAAATGTTTTTTGCAACATGCATGGTTTTTAAAAATTGGGGAATATCACTCATATATTCCCCAGTTTCAGCACGGGAATATTAAGTCACATGATGCATTTAGACCAATTGTGCACGAGCAAAAATATTTGATAGATTATAATCTGGGATAATCTGTGGTGGTTTGAATCACTTGGTCTGATGCAGACTTTACCAGTCCGGAATACAATGTATCCCGATAAATTAGGACAATCATGACGTCATGAAGCTATTGTTAGCAGAGAAAATGGTGGACCTTTTATGCGGACCAAGAAAATATGTTGTTTCCAGTCTCGCATAGAGTCTGGCCAGCATTATCCAGGACTTTTT